GTAAACCAGCATGCTAGCATTGTCACCGTTGAGCTCAAAGTAGTGCTGTGCCTAAATAAACCACCAGCACGGTCGTAAACTCTGGCTGCATTCTTGCCATTCGTACAGAGCCCTTTTTTAACATTACAAAAAGAGCCGCATCTCTCAAATGCATTGACAAAGCAGATATTTTCGTTATATTAGTGGTGCGACCACGACATCATGACAACAAAGAAAGGAACTGTTAGTTTGGGAGGCAAGTGTAATTCAATACTTGTGTAAATTATGTTAGAGGAAATATACTCAATTGAGCAACTGCCAGAAAACTTTGAGTCCACATTAAGATCTACATAATTTATTGAGTCAAAATGCAAAGCATATGTTGGCTCCGGTCTCCCAAATATGAGTCTGCCGCTGTGAACAGAATGAGATTTGTTTTTGGACAGTTGCTTGGACGAAACAAGTAATTTGAGGTGTGGGAAATTGGGAGAAGCAATTTGGACAGATTTACTGTGAAACATCACAGAGTCATATTGTGAAGCTTGTTTCCTTCCTGTCCCGAAACGTCCTCTGTGTCCCCTGCCTGTCAAATGTGTCCTCCCTCATCCTCGGTGCCCTTCACTTTCACGTCCCAAGGGTCCCCTTGTAACCTTATCCATGCAGCCGCGCACAATACCCTTCATGGGACACAAAGCCAATGATACCAGGCTCCTCTGTTCCATTCTCTACATTTGTCACTTTTATTTCTATGCTCTTTGTTCGTCTTACCTCTGTATGCATGAGTTATCCCAAATTGAGCCTGCAATTGAAATGGAAATCATCCCTGTGTCCCGGTGACTTAAGGGCAATAACTTCTTACTCTTTGAGGCATATCTGTCGTGTTTGTTGTTCCTCTGAGAATCTTATGGTCGTGTTGCCCTTTTCACCGAGCTTTTTAAACATAAACACTGAATTTAGAGGATGTGTACCCGCCGATTCCACTGTGGCATTATAAATCGGAGCAGGCAGGCACAAACCGGGACAATGTGATTGGAAAATGAGTTTGAAGCTGACAGCGAGGCACGGCGGGATTAGAATTCCTCTCATAAAACATCCCCTTATTGGTTCTCATTATTGGTTATGGTTTTCATGTGAGCCTAATCTAAGATGATTAATTAAACATAAAAATTACAATTCGAAACCCAGACGAGGGAGAATAACCCTACATATCACTGTCGTCGCGCTGAATTCAGGAGAAAATTCCCATGAAAAACACGTCCGCAGACGAGCCTGGAGGTGAGGATAATAGCACAACAAGTGGAAAGACGCGTGGAAACATTGTCGCTTGGACGCAACAATAACGTTCGCAATTTTTCTGAATGATGACATGTATACACAAAACATTATGAAAGACATGAAAGGCTTTGCGAGCTCTGTAGCTGGCAGCAAAATAACAATATGTCTGGATAAAAATGCTCCATATCTGAACAAAAACAGCCTCGGGGCCACAGAGAAAGGACAATGACGAGCCAAACTATACCTTCAGACGTGCACGTAGCACATCGCCAGGCTGCTGACCTCTTTTCCCCTCCTTCTAGAAGAGGAGCGCTGAACATCCCAGATAACACTGACCTCGGCGCAGGCTTGTCCTTGAGTATTAACTTTACTGATTAATCGTCCGTGCGGCGCAAGAAGCCATCGATCACGTTCACCCAGTGGTGTTAATGATGCAGTGGCCTGTTAAATAACAAATAAACCTCGATACTGATGATCAGCACCTCTTATCTTCCCCCCGCCGCTCCCCCTTCATTCCCTGTCAGAAGGCTGCATGCAGGAAATCATTTCCCTCCCCTTCGCTATCTCCTCTCTGAAGCCGTCACAGGTATCATAAAAAATCTGGTAAATAAATACGAACATTGCCAGAGAGCAGGCAAGGAAATGAATATTTCATGTAACCAAACACATTTCCAGAGCACACTGGCTGGAATGTGCCTTTTCCGGCTGTCACCGGTGACAAACATGAAAGAGGAGGGCTCAGGTACGGTTATGCTGCAGCACTCTCAACTCTGCCTGCAGCACAGGGAGCACCAGTCGTCACTGTAATTGCTTGTAGTGCTGGAGCCTGAGCTGAACCTCAATTAGGGGGCCTGGGTACTTGCTAGGCTCCACACCCTCTCAACGCGTCTGCCAGCCACTCTGGAAAACATACTCGAACATCTTCAACACCGCCAGGTATCAGTGCAATGTTTGCCATTATCACAGTTTAGGTTTGCACATTATATCCACCGATCGGCCTGCTGGAGCTGCGACTCCTTCCCGGAGATCACTTTTTTATTTTTGCATCACCAGCAGCGGCGCATTCTAGATAAGGTGATAACAGGGCAGCTTAAATGGACAATTAGTCTGACACAGCAATTCACTCCTGCTCGCTGCTGTCAGGCCGTTGTCGCTAATCTCTAATAGCCATCTGATACTCCAGATTCCATCCAACAGGCTGAATTATAACCTCAAATTACATTTCTGATGCTGATAAGAGATGCATCGACTGCAGACAAGGGAGGGGAAAACATTTTAAAGTGTTTTTTTTTTTTATGCACGAAATAACAGACAGAATGTACCAGATACTAAACCTGCTAAATCAAATCTGGAAAACATAGTCTTTCCTGGCTCAGCTTACACCCACATATCACTGTGGCCCGGCGCCTCGGTCACACAGCATCTCAACACACACACCTCTCAGTCTGCTCTGTTAAATGCCAGGTGTACACAGGGAGGCCACGGAGAAAAAAAGCCTCTCTGTTCCTTTCTCTTTTTCACTCCCCCTCTTCTTTCTCTCATTCTGTACATAGGACAATACAGTGGGTGCACTAACATGCCATGCTCACACACACCTCTCTGCTGCGAGGCAAACACACACCTGTATGAACAGGTAAAGACAAAATCACAGCCCGCCTCGCTCTTTCACATCTTCAATGCACTTCCTGCCTCTGAAAACGCTGCCAGTTTTGCGGCGCGCGAGCAAAAGATGAAAACGACGCAGCTCATGTGTTTTTGTCATTCATTCAGTCTGCGTGCAGCAAAGAGAGCCGGATACCATCCTGCAGGTGGAAGTTTGATCCATAGTAGTAAGCGGCTGGTTCTCGCCATACGAGCCGACATTCGTTGTAAACTCACAGTCAGCTGAGTGTGCGAGCCATTAACGTATTAGGAGCGAGTGTGTCCGCAGCCACAAAGGATGCTCTGTGTGCTGCATTTTGTAATCTAAATGATTAAAAGGATGAAAAAGGTCCATGAAATGCGCCAGGTTGGAGCTGCATATTAAGTGGTGGGAGGGTTGGCTGACATGGACCGGCTGGGAGATGGTCGACACTTTGCTTGTCCAATTACTGGCTCTCGTTCAAATTGTTTGGTGAGAAGCATTCGACCTACTTCTGGACACAAAGCACCACTGCCCTGAATACAGAGAGGCTGGGGACCACGTGTGATGACAAGTGCCATTAGAGGCTCTTGTCTTTGGCCTAGAAATTAAATTCAGGCAACTTACCTGATGTGTGATAATTCTGGCTATGAGCGCTGTTGAACCTCGCTCTTAACACGGCCTGCTGGGATGAACAGGGGACAAACATAAATAGGATCTGTAGCGCGAGATGATTAAACTCACTGATGGGAGTCTGACCTTCACAAGGTCTTTGTGTTTAACACCAAGCAAGCAGCAGTGCTACTTGTTCTATGACGAGACCAAGCGAAAGTGGTAGCGGCAGCATGTTCACTGCAATATTTTCTGGGAAAATGTGCCACAAACTGCGTTACAAACAATATAGGCCAAGCCGATTGTTGTTGCCAACAATACGAGAAAAGCATCAAAAGGAATACAAATATCAAATTATGGATAAACTGTGGAGCACTTCTATGTTTCCTGGGATTCCCTCAAAGGCATCATCCGTAATGAGACGCCACAAAACAACAGTGAGAGGAAACCAACATTTGAATTTGCAGCACCTCCACCACGCAGTGTGCGATGCATTTGCATACCCTGTAAATATTCATACTGAGGGAATCACTGTGTCAAGCACGCGCCGGTTTATAAATGCAACAAACGCACAAGCAACAAATGTTCCATCCACATCCCCGTCAATTAGGAAACAGACAACACCTATCCTCTGATTTTAATGCGATTTTAATCACACAGATTTAAGACTCATCAGTCATTCCAACGTTGTGACATGCTTCATCATCAATGCATGTAATGAGGAGCAATTTCCTTAAGCGTGGATTAAAGAAACCATCCATGGGCATTTTGTTTTTTTTTCCAACCTTTCTCAGACTTTCAAGATTGCCTCCAGTGCCATGTGATACCTTTTCACAGCACCAGAATAAATCTGCTGAAATGGCACATGTACTTCCTCTAAACACAATATATATTTCCAGCAACAAGCATGTTTGATTTTCCCTCTACTCTCTACACAACTACCTCCCTGAACCTGTCACATCAAATGCAACACTAAAGTGCATTTATTGGGGGATAATGCTGTTCATCAGAGGTATGATTCAGTTCTGCGGTTCAGTGTTCAGCATGGGAGCCAGTGGTGTGGTTTGGGCTGGTAAAAAATATGAAAGACAGCACAGTGTGATGTCCAGGCAGGAAAAAAAATAACTTTTAATCTCAGTGTGGCTTTAATATCCCTAAAGGTGATAAAAGGTGTAAATTAAAGCTAGCTTGTAGCTTGTTAAGCTAGGTTAAACCTAAACTCTACTTATTATTCCACTCATGAACACCTGAGAATATTACAGAAGCAGTCGTGACAACAGTCTCCCAGCACAAAAATCTCTCTATCTCTCTCTTTCCCCCCCTTACATATTTGTTATTTTTACTAATATAATTTTTAAATTTAAAACCCCACCTGCCTTGAGGAGTCCGTGCAGGTGGCTGCTCTTATTAGCGTCCAAAGCTAGCTAACATTTCTAACAAGTGCAACAACTAACAACGAACATTTTTTTCCTCTTTCTCTCTCTCAGACGAAAATAATAAAAAATAAACTCACCCCTCAGGTGCAACTCATGTCGTGGCAGCCGTTCACAAAAGTTGAATTTCTTTTTTTTTCCTCCTCCACCGCTGGAAGAAGAGGGCAGAGGGAGGTTTAACTGGGAACGTAACGCCGCTTCGCCTCGCAGTTGGTCTGAACCGGAGAGCCTCCCCTCTTCCTCCTCCTCCTCCTCCTCCTCCTCCTCCCTTGGATGCTACTATCGCTCCCTCCTCCTCCTCTGTAAGGAGAAAAAAAAAAGTAATAGCGGTTTCTTTCCTCCTCCTCCTCCACCACAAAGACAGACTCAAAGAAAAGAGCCTATCGCAGTCAATAGGTTTCACAGAACCCCATGGCAACGCAGAAAAACCGTGCGCAACTTCCCCACGTTGTGACCGGGGTGAAGCTGCCCCCAGCTCCCCCCACCTCCCTCCCAGCGCTGACGGACATTATTCCCGGAGCGAGCAGGTTTCACTGGGAGGAGGCTGAGTGGAGGGATGCTGCTGCTGCTCACACACGGGATCAGAGGAAATAATATATGTGTGTTATCATTGATGTGACATGCAAGTGATGCAGTGAGCATCCCTACAGGAGCCATTAGTTATGTATTAATAACTATTTATAACTATTTCTAAGGTTTGGATTTGTATTTTTTTGTTTTTACTATTACATATCCTATGTTCCAGTAAAATTTTAACTGGTAAAAAGTCAAGCAGAATAGAACAAAGTAACTGTATATACTATGTATGTTTTTAAAAGTATTTATTTATTTATTTATTATATTGTAGTGTTTGTAGATTTAAAAGGGCTTATGGGAGTCACCAGCTGTAGTCAATCAGTCAAAATCACTCGCCAGAGGATTAAAACAGCTTTCAACATTCAAGTTTTGGATTTGTAGTTTTGTTGTTGTTGTTGTTGTTTACTTATGGTGTAGTTTGTTTGTATTTACTTTCCAGTAACGTTTTAACCATCAAAAAGTCAATCAGAATAGTACAAAGAAATTGTAAGTATTGTGTATGTAAAAAATAATAATAATAATTAAAAAAAGACGAAAAAGATCATGTATATCTTCATTCCGATTTTAACATTGTAATGTTTGTGGTTGATTCTAATGAGCGTATGAAATGGGCCAGATTTAGGCCACATTAACACATGGGCGAGTATTTACAAAGATTTTCTACCTTTTCAAAGACAAAATTGTTCACACTAGATCCTTTTAAAAAAAAAATTCTTCATTTACACAAACCCATAAACATGTGTTAACAGCTGCTATGAACATGCCACACCTATAGGGGGCAGTGTAAAGAGAAGCATAAAGCCATGCTAGCCAATCAGAATCCTGGAAAAAACACAACAACAAATGGCACAAATTACTTCAAATCAATGGTTGTTTGTTTGGACCGACCAAGAAGTGGAGCTACTCCTAAATGTGACGTTAGAGTACAAAACAAGTACTTGATTTCTATCACAGTAGCTAAACTGTAAACATTGGTTGCACACATATGACGCTAATGACGTTTTTGTCGTTTGCTGTGACGTCAAACTCCGTCTCCTTCTGTCTACATGCAAACCTAAAGACAGAGTTTTTCCAAATCTCCACTTTGCTCGAAGCTTTCAGATGACTTGTAGCTTTGTTTACTTGTAAACCAAGGACCCAAACACATTGACATATCACCATTTTTACTACGTGTAATCGGGACCTTAAATTGGATTAGAGGAGTCACCAGCTGTAGTCAATCAGTCAAAATCACTCGCGAGAAGTTAAGAGGTAATGCCAGAAAATTAAATTACTGCAGCTTTCTACATCACCAAACCTGATCATTAGAGTTGCTGTATGTATGCTTTTTAACCGACAGAGTTTGTCGTAGCTCCAGACAGAGAAGAGAAATTTCTTTTTACACTTTTGCTTTTTGATTTCACTTCTCTTTTTCAATTCACTTTCTTGCTATTTTTGCGTCTACTCTCAGATGTTCGTCGCTTTGGACAAAAGCGTCTAGAATTGTGTTAATATTTCACTATTAAACACACACACACACAGAAAGGAATGACAGTAAACACTAAAACACTGCTATCTCATATTTACTGTTCTGTTTTACTACCTGTTGTTTGTCATGCTTCTATTTTTTTTTAGATATTTTTTTTTAAAGAGCAGCATGTTGTGCCACTGGTCGCTGGAAGCTGCCCTTCGGCCATTTAACAGTTTCCTGTTTCCAGTTAGATGCTGTGCCTTGCTCAAGGGCACCTGAATAATGCAGTGATAACAGATAGGGGTGGCAGTTGTTATTCCTCATTCATTTCTCCCGCTGTTTTTTCCAAACCCAGTCTTGGCCACCACTTCTTGGTTATTTCATAAATCTATAGGGCGGCTAAGACAGGCTGGCAACAACAAAATGAAGAGTTCATTTGCAAAAACAGACATTTTTGTAGATTTTCAGAAAATGTATTTTTTTGTTGTTTGCTTGAGATAATATCAATCAAACTAAAGCTGAGTGGATTTGACTCAGTAGAAATGACAAAAACAAAGATAACTTAAGTTTGTCTTGGGTAGACGATGGAAAAGTTGGTTTTCTGAAGGTTTGTGAAGATGGAGTTGTCTGTTTATGCAAATGAACTCTTCAAACATAAATGTATGTGTTAGATGTTGATTCAACTTTATAATATGGCTTAAAGTACATTTTAAGACTTATACCAATAGCTTGCACTGGTTTTGTGACTTTGGTTTCATGACTTTTAATAAGCAGAATGAAGCATGTGCTCACCTTAAATCTGAGTTTACCTTCATAAAAGCATTGTTTTTTGACAGATAGTTGGGAAGTTCACATGACACTGGCACATACACTTTTCAGTGAGGCACTAGACACCACTTAAACTTTCGAAATTAACTATATTTGCATATTCATAGACTCAGAATTCTGCAGTGAAGGACAGAAGGTCAATTGCATTAAATTGTAAACAGAACAACCATTTAAAACATGCCATTAAAACATATCTAAGCTTTGTGGGAACCCCTCGAATTTGGTCATCTAAGAGTTGATATGCACTGCTTGCTTGGCAAAAATCAAAGTCACGCTAACAGAACATACAACAGATTTTAAGTAAAGCTTCATTAAAAGCATAAAGTCACAAGGTAATCTCAATTAACCCAACATAAATATTAAAAGTATGAAGTCATAGCAACGCATAGCTTCGAAAATGTCCTCAAGCTTGAATCAACACCCTTCTGAGGTCTCATTTCATGCTTCGCGAATGTTGCGTTCACTGCTTTTGCTTTTCTATCGAATTACAATTACACGAACAGGTTTTCATATTGTTGTGTCAACCTGCTGCATATCAAACCGCTGCTTTCATCATAACGCCGGCCCGTGTGCTGTGGACTAATAGCGTCTGTGGGGATCTTTGATTCCGGCACCTCTGACAGCACAAGATCATTAAGAACTCTTTGCATCAGCGGAGCGGGCAGCAAAGGTCAGCTAGAAATCAATTTAGCCAATAACCTCAGACCCACGGACAGGAATGGAGTGGATTTCTAACCTGGAAATGACAGAGTGGGAAGAGCCTCTTGCCGGTAATGTTTATCAGATCACTTCCAGTCGTCCCTGACTCAGTGGGTTGGTCAGTCGGAGATTTACAGCTGTTTGTTTCGAGGACAAAAAGCATTCAGGATCAAAAAGCTGATTTGTATTTATTGAAAAGAATGTGGGAATGGTGAGCAAAAGAGGTATATTACTTCGCTGATCTCTTGGGAACGTCTCCTTCCCACTCGCATTTATCTTCTCCGCTCGTGTTTATGACGGAGTGTCAGTGTCAGGATGCACCTGCCACTTGTGATGTGCTGTGTGATGAGTTGCAGCGTAGACGAAACACATAAACCCTGTCCAGCCCTGTTTATCCCTCCGGAGACTATGTACAGCGTGGTTGTTAGTGGTTTACAGGCTGTATGGATTACAGGTTATTCAACTGTTCTGGTGATATCTTGTGTTTTATTTAATTTGTTTTATATTCCTCACAAGTCTGCATCAGGATTTAGGAAATATATAAATCAAACAAACAAAAACTTGACTACATTAAAATCCAAATGTGTTTATAGTTGTTCCAAAGTGCCACAAATAGCTGGAATGAAAAGCCAGCTGTCAGAAGAGTTGTTTAAATATGAGGAATATTTCAACAGTTTTTCACAGCAGACGTGGCAGAAATACTTGTGTTAAAGTGTGAGACGTTCACACTCTCCCCGCTTTCCCACTTTCGGGTAGCTTCAGCTGGGAGTGAACGCCAACACCGGGACTTTCCCCCACGGCTACCTGCTTCACATGGACACCTGAACGGGGAAAAAGGGTCACAACAAAGGTAACAAAGTCACGGGGCTATTCGCCAGGCCGTCTCCCTCCCTCGTCCAAGTGGGATTCATCTCCATCCAACTGGCACCGAAGAGGAAAGAATGAAACCTCTCCGTTACACAAAGAAGGGAAATGAACAGATTGACTTGAATGCAAATAACCTGATTTAGGGTATCATAATCACACTGAATGGATTACACAATGGCTATAAATGTAACAAGATACCTTTCTGAGGTGCTCCGTGTTACAGTGAGTGCTCTTAACAAATCAAATTAGATTTGCTGGAACATCTGCTTCCCTTTTTTTCCCCCCAACAGGAACTAACTCATCTATAAGTGTGATACAGTAGATTACAGCCCTGACCTTCAGGAGGCCCAGGTTAAAAGCTGGAAATGAAAGTGATCCATGATGTTCCTGTTTTTCAGATGCTAACATCCTAACAACCTATTTTTTGTGATCGCCACATGTCTGTCCTCACAGGTTTGAGGTGGTTCGATTTGGGAAAAAAGGTAACATCGTGTCTTCAAGTTTGCAAATCTGTGGCGGTATTTGAATGCAAATGTAATAACAGTTGGGGACTGTTTACTCGTGTCAATCAAATTTAATGAAACCACGACACAAGCAATCAAACTACACTGTTTATGTTTCCACCATTAAGCCACTCAGTGTATTTACATTCTGAAATTACCCGTGTACATAGCAGTTTCCATTATTAGGAGCAGAGTCCGCCGCTGCACGTTCAAATTGCCTCAGATACACAAATGATTACCACGAAGCAAAGCGAGCGGCGCCGCTTGATCTCGCAGTTCACCGCGGCGTCTCTACAGCTGCATCAGAGCTG